ATAATATATATTATATATCTACTTGTTAGCATTCACACAAGCAAACAAACCTCAGTAAAACTAATCAACAGTTTGTATGAAAGAGCTACTCATGAGTTACAACCAAGACAACTTTTAGCTTCTTAATTCTACAAGACGAAAGTATGTTTTGGGGATTTTTAACATTTAGCCAATTTTCAGGACACTATCCTTGCCAGAAGGGTACACTCTTCCACAATGCTCAGACGTCAGATTCATTGGACATGACACCCTATACTAAAATGTTCTCTTTTATATACTTGGAAATTATGATAATTGACATGCTTTCAAAGGAAGAATTAAATTTAACTTACCTCTAGCCCAGCGAACAGGGTAAAGATGTTTCCAGAGAGATCCAGTTTTAGCCAACTGTGACCATTCAGTGCTTACTTGACTACACTGACATAACTCTTGGGGGTTAAGGTAACTGAAAATGGTCAGCATTACTTCAGGAGGAAGATTAGTAATATTTGTGGTGTGCCCTGTTACTTCGGCTTCTGAAATATAGAAAGTGTATGTTAAGTGAAGCACAGCCTCACAGTTTTAAGCAACAGTAGGGGAACTCACATTTTTTACGAGGGCAATGAAAAAATTGTAAACAATTGTTTTGAAAAAGACCTGGAAAAAAGAAGGTATCACTTTGGATTTAAAAAGCTTTCACTGTAATAACACCTTAAACAAAACCAAACAAAAAAAATTCAGCTCAGTTTCCTGTTTGCCATTTTCTCACCTGGCTAGTTTTTTCCAACTCTGACCCTCTCGCCCCTCCCGCAACGATCCCAAAAAAAAAAAAAAAAAAAAAGCGCGCCCTCGACAAAAGCATACTGCTACTACTCAACCACAGCAAGATTAAAACAGGAAATTAAATGCTTTAAAAAAAGTCTTCCATCATAGATTATATAAATACCTGCTTTGCCACATTCCCAGGAAACAGTACTAGCACACAGAACCTACCAGCTGGGACCACGCTCACCAAAAGCGCTCAATACAGCAAGAAGTCCAGGCTTAACTCTTTGCAACTATCTCGTATTTTATTTCTAGATTTAACTGCTACCACAGACAATTTTAGCTTCTGAATGGTGACAAGCCACTCAGGTTGTAAAGTGATACTAAATATTAGGTTAGAGACTAAAATTTGACCACTGTAACTTAACACTTCAATAGACAGCAGTAGGAACCATCTCCAATAGCTCTCCCTTATCACCACAGTACAAAGAGAGCTGCAAACTATATAAAATAAGAAATTCAGTGCTTTGGTTAGTGGTTTTTGCTGTTTTACGATAATTTTTAATGTTTTGTTTAAGGACAATTTACTTAAAAATATTTGTAAAATAGTTTTCAGGAGTCCTTAGAAATAGCAGGTTTCACAAATTAGTAGGGATTTCCTTTTAAAGTTAGGACACAAAGTATGTAAGACTTTACAGCGAGACAAGCACCAGGTTTCTTTTTGCAAAGAAACTTCAAAAGTGAGGACAATGTAAACTCTACCCTGTGATCTATTGCTACTTTAAAAAAAAATTAAATACAGTTTCACTTGATGAATCAATATATTTATTCATACACCTGCCAAATCTCTGCAGGTATACTACAGAGAATTTCACACTAAAATACAGTTAAAACTGCACAGGACTGCAAGCCATGTTATTTTCTTCCATTTTTAAAAAATGGATGCAGGACATATACTTCCCTCTCCCTCAAGTCTAGAACACAACCACTGCAGAATTACTGTCCCAAAACTGCTATTCCAGCTAGACTTAAAGCAAGTAATGCCATAAGGCTACTTCTGTCACATTCATCTGTTCAGACTCAACAGTATTTCACACCACGGACCATGATCTTTTCTGAAGGCTTCACCTGGAGGGCAGAAAATGACCAGTTCAGTAGTTCAGAGAAGTTTCACAAAAAAAAATAATCTGATTACAGAGTATTCTAGTTTTTCTAATGAGAGCACCACATCTTACCAACACCACAAAGTCAGTTCATGAGGGTTTGCTCTACTTATCGGTCTCAGACCCAGTACGACGCTTTTGGTACATTAATTCCCCTTCTTTGGGGCATCAACTCTTCATTGGTAGTTAAGAGTGAAAACTGTGAAGACAGACAACTTGGGCTGCTTCAACAGTCATAAAACAAGCCTGAAGTGTGTTTTAGTAGTTATCAATTTATTCTAAGGTAGTTACAGATGAACAAAAATTAAATATGTACTTTCACAACGCACGTTTCATCTGACCTACTCACACACTGCACGGATTCATTCCCTTGTATTACTCCACACACAGTTTCTTTCTTTCCAATTCCTGAGAGGCCCAGGGAAGTTAGGCAGTGGAGTTGGGGAAGGTGAGTTGCTTTTAATTTGAAATAGTCTCAGTTGGCTAACTATTCTGTGTTATTAAACCATGAACAGAAAAGCTTACAAAGCAGTCTTGAAAACCAAGAATTAAATGCAGGGTCTGCAAATAGAAAAAATAATTTCAATAGAAGTATGAAATTTAAAGTTAATTATCATTTTTGACTTTATTATATCAAATATCACCATGGGAGGGAAGGGAGAGGAAAAAGGTTGAGAACAGATAAACAGTGAATTACTATCTACATTACAACCTGCCAAGAAACCTGCATCAAACTGTAAAGTTCCTGAAGTTTCAAAACTGGTCTGAAGAAATTCCCTTTTTATAAAAACTACTTTCTCTGCCTGTACATAACTTTAGGTATTTCACTGGTGTGGGTTTTTAGGTAGAAACTGCAGTTTGAAAATTACTTTAATTAGATGCTTCACCTTGATCTGCTTTCTCGTCCACAGAATACTTAAAGACCTTCTGAAGCTCTTCTGCTTGATTCCACTTACTAAGACCTCTGAATTCTACAGCCTCCTTCTGTGAGCAGTGCTGTGCAATTACTTTCTTCTTAATATCTTTCAATTCTTCATAAGTAAAGTATTCCATCAACATTGGCTGAAAAACCTAAAGAAAAAGAAAAAGGAAAAAAAAGTCTGCTGCTGACAGAGATGGTTGATAATGCTATACAGACCTACCAACACAGAATTTCCTGTTTCAAATTCTCTCCAAGGAAAACATGTTGTACATGTAGTGAACTTACGGACAAAACCATGGAAGTTTTGAGTTCCAGCCCTCTGCTCTGCTTGCCAATGGATCACAGCATAGTCTCAAGCAACCTGTTTAACCATTTTCCTCAACAGAAAAGGGAAGCTATTAAAGTTGCTTAAACTACATAACTTATCAAGGTACTCACACAGAAGGCAAAGTGGCAAGGAAGAAAAACATGAGAAAAGATTTCCCTTGGACAGACTTCGGAAGATTTACTCTCCCCAGAAGATGCTTCCCAGTTTTTGGATACCCATAAATCATCAGACTGGCAGTACTAGTCTATGTTTCAAATATAGGTCAGAGGCTGTTTGGGAGTGTCAGTTTGAGTCATGAAGCACTGGTTTACAGGACTTCTTCCTTTGTTATACATCCCCTTAAACAACTACCTGCTGCAAACAAATCCCAGTCCCAGTGAACTTTTGTTATCAATTTTTTAAAGAACCAGAATTTCACCATAAATTTTCAACATATTCAGAGTTTCAGAATGTGTCACTTTGCAGTAAGAGAACAAAACAATGACACCACAGTCCTGAATGCAAATTGGTATAATAATAAAGAGAACTGTGAAAAAACTGAACCTCTAAGCCCTTTGTCTTTATTCAGCATTCCAAACCCCAAGGAAGATCCGCATAATATTTGAGGAGAATTTTTACCTACCTCCTCTTCCTCTTTCATATGAGGAAGGAAATCCCTGGTAAAGGCTTCCAATCTCTCCTTTAGCTGTTTCGCATAGTTTAGCTGTTCATATTCATTCTGAGAAGCAAGCGAAGATTTACCTATTATCTAATTTTGTCCATTCATTCAAGGATTGAACTGTTAAATAAACCCATGTTTCAAAGTAAAGCCCATTACGTCTTCCCCATGCATGCAGCACGTTTGCTCTATTTCACAGTAAGAATGCATTCACTTACAAAGTTTCATTACTACCTGACAGTCTGTACTAGTCAGTTACTAGGCAGAACAAAGAATTCTCTTCCTGCCCGATTCCAACTTGTTTGATTATCAGATATGAATTAAGTTGTCTAATCACATTTTTACTTCGGAGCAAAGACTGAAGTCTGCCAATCTACAGTCTCACACAGAGTTCAAAGTAGTAACAGACTAAGTATTTGCATGTTTTGCATAAGAATTATTCTAGGATACAGCAGCTCCACTCCATCTTTTAACTGCATAAATTTTACATTAGTTATTCTACAATTCTAGCTTCCAAATTATAATCAGAATTTATAGTCAGGCATGCTCTATAGATATTTACTTTGCAAATGGAAAAAACTCATATATAAGATGTAACTGACTTTTAAATGTTACAGTTAGACCAACCGCATCTATCAATTTGTTAGCTTGTTCTCTGTGCCAGTAATAAGAAGCTGGTTCTGAAGTCTGCCCAGTAATTGCAACATACTAAGTTCCTCATTGCTCTTACAGTAAATGGGGTAAGTTTTTCTTTTCAAACTTGTACAACATCAAAAAACACTGACTATTACAGGAAAAAAGCTTAAGCCATCAGTTTCAATTAAACTAACCACACCCTCCAAAAAGTTAAATAGTTAACATTTCTAAAGAGAGCTAGAGAAATGTGGTTTTCCACACCTGAGCCAAGTAACAGAATAACACTAGCATCCTATCAGTTAAGGTATAACACAAAGGCAAGTGTTAAACTCGCCCTCTCCTTCACCTTCCTTCATCTTCCAATTCATTAATGGAAAAAAACTTTAGACAAATTTTAAGGTTTGAAACGTACAGAGAAAAAAAATTACTTGCACAATTCCCAGAACAAAATCAGCTTTAGATAGTAAAATTAAAACAATCAACTGCATATTTCATATTTTTCTTACTGAAAATAGGGACCGTGTGTACTAGAGATGTAATATGGGATGTCAAATTACTACTGAGACTATAGTTCTTAGAGTGCAGGAAGGGAGAGTTGAGTTGGGTAGCCTAGAGGAAAACCACAGCAGAATTCAAGCAGGGTTCTACTGCAGAAGAATTTAACAACTAAGTTGTGAAAAAGCCAGCTGGAGAAAAAACATTTAGAGTTTCTTGAGGACTGGAACATTAACAGTATTACTGAGCAATAGATTACTGGAAGGAGTAATGACTCACCAACAGAATAAAACAATGCCTTAAGTCTGGTGATGATCTCCATTTGTGACAATAATACAATGCTATGGGGCACAAAAAAGGATACTCACGGTTTCCTAACAAATTAATAAAAAACATGATTTCTATAGTCAGAAACTGTTTTGAACAACTAGCAGATCAGTCTTTGTATTTGAAACTTCCACGTTGTCTCTCCAAAACACTTCCAATTATGCAGTGATAGACTTCTGTAACAAAATACATCTCTGAAAATAATTTTTACTAGACGTTTGTAACTGTGATGAATGTCTTTCCAGTCTTTCGTCCTGGAAAGTTTTCACTACGGTATCAAGAAACCACAAACGTTTCTTTTTCCTCCTTACTTTATTTTCAGAGGGTATCAAGAAAAGTTGAGGCAAACTAATACATAACCACAGCATGTTTTCCTTACAACACAAGACCTTATAGTCTACTTACCTTTACATTCTTTAACCCTTTCTCAAAGAGGCTAAGCATCTCTGAGAGTTTGTTGTCCGAGTGCACATTGTACACTGTCCGGCTACGTTGCTGAAGTAAGCCAATGATACACTCATTTTCAATCTGCTCATGCATTTTAAATTCCTTGAAGGTGGCATAAAGAGATTGCAGAAGAGCCCGGAAGTCATTGTTGTTGGAGAAGTTGGTCTTGGAAAGCTAAAAGAAAGAAAAGCTCATTAAAAAAAAAAAAAATCTATGAAAGTTACATCAAGGTCAAGATAGATCCTTAGAACAGGTATTAGCTCTGGTTATTCATTGCTCCCACTACTTATAACATAAAAGCTGAAAACTTTCAATTTTATACAGAAAACTGACAAAAATAAAAATTGAATTTGGAATTCAAGCAACTCGCTTCAAAGACATCAATAATTAGAGTAATGAATGCTTTTCATTTTAATCTTTGGGCACATCAGATAAAAATCATAGATTCAAGTTCATAGATGGGAATACACAAACTAGTCTTCTATTTGAATAGTAACTTTCCCATAATTTATCTAATTGGTGCATTAAAATATAATTTAATACACCTTCTTCCAGAAGTGGGCAAAATTAATACTGGCATTTGAATACTACAGATTAACACTTTTATGTAATATCCCTATTAATACAACTTTTTAAATTAGTCACAGAATACAATTATTTTAATCTTCATAACTGACTTGCCATTTGATTTTTATTTGTTAACAGGAACAGACAAAAATTCTATATGAAAACCCTCAAACTCATTTTAAAACTTTAAAAAACTCATTACACATGGTCATTTCATGTATACTTTTCCTATTACAGTTCATTAAAACAGTAAGCCATTCACACTCAAACTCAGTTAACTCCACAAAATAAGTTAACAGAGCAGTTTTACTACAACATTGTGCTTTGTGACTGAGATTTAAGTAAACTAACAGATTTAATTGCACAACTCTCTCATTTCCAGTGGCAACTATGTAACTGCATTCCCATCACCTGCTCTGAAGAAACAAAGCTATAAATTTTAGAAATATTACAAAGAACTAATGATAACTACAGAAGTTTAACAAAGCATAATATATGCAATAACGCACATTGTAAAGAAAAGCCTTACATTTAATCAGACAAATTATGAAGGCAACCGTCTTATTCCACAGAGCTTAAGAAAACAGGGAAGTAGTATGATAACTTTTTAAAGAAGATCGTCCTTGAGAGAACAATACAGTTACAGCATTAACTTTAAGAAGACAGTGAAATCAAAGTTGTATTTAAGCAACATAAACCAATCTGGTGAAACACTGAGACAAACAAATGTAGAAAGATTTCCTGGCAGAAATCAATGCAATCTCCCTAGCCTGGCAGGTAACTGAAAGGCTTGGCCACTTTCCCAGATCTACATTTTAGTCCACACTAAGAAGCCATTATCACAGGCCCCTATTATCCACATGAACACCGAGTCCTACCAAGTGAATAAACTATACTAGCTGTTGGAAGAGGTTTCCACTGGACCAAAAACCAACAAGTTAAGACAGCACAAAGTTCTAGGTAACATAGTAGTGCCATTTTTACCTGCATACAGTCCCCATTAGCAACAATGTTTTAAAACTGCATTTTCCCTTGGTGAATGTAGAAAACCAGTATTTTTTCCATTCTTATGTTTTATTCCATACACAGCTTCAAGAATCACAGCTTAGAGCAACATACCAGAGGAAGCATTCAACAAATAAAAATATTTTAATTCAGAATACAAGCCACTGGAGTATTCAGAAGTGTTTTAGTTCAAAGATTCTGGAATCTAAGGGTTTTACTAGAAATGGGAATCTGAGACATACATAATACTTACATACATCAAAAAAAAACCACCCATAAATTGAGGTATCTAAAACTTCTATCATTTAAGAAAAACCCAAATGCACTTATTCATTCTGACATTGCATTGCCACTTCCTGGTAACCACTAGTAATGCAACTAAAACACACTGGACATCTGCCAAGTACTTATGCAACTCCCAACTCAGCTGTGCATACTGTACATTACATGCTGTACATATAAGCAAAATTACTGTCATGGAAAAAGACATTTGCTTAGACTCAGCAGAGATAGAAAATAGGGCACAGTTAAGGATTTTTCTTTTTCCAGTATCTTTTAGACCAACTAGTGACAGGTCAGAAAAAACTTATGTCTGTGATGCACTGTGTTAGTATTTGAGGAATCCATTGGTACCTACATATCACAAATGGGAAAAGATCTTGGCTCTGAAGACTATTTCTACCCTATGTCAATCTCAGAGAATGCAATATTGAGAGCAGTGTTACTAGATAAAACAAAGGCCAGGCTTTCCACACTGAAAAAGCAAAGGAAACGGGTGCAGAAATACCTCTTCAGGATAGCCTCCTTACCTCCAGACATTTGTGATTTAGACCTCAAAACTGTCAAAGTTTGGTTTCTAATGTAGCACTTCTCTTGATCAAGGACTGTCTCAAAATTGTTTATTCTACCCATAAGGATCCACAAGACCCTAAATCAGTCCCCAGAGACCTTTTTCACCAAGAGTCCCATTTGCAGTATGCTGATTGACATAAACAAGGCTGTGGAAGTGTGTAACAGGAAGGTTAGACAAAACTATTGTATTTTGCTGTTGGGTTAAAAAAAACCCACAAAATTTATTCTGATACAAAAAGAGCATCTTCTCATCTTCCTGACTCCAAGTCTTTTCAGGACTCAAACTTCTGTTGAACCCACCTATTATGATCCACAAATCTGGAATAAATTAAGAATCCATATGTGCATGCAATTTAAGAATTCCTGTTATAAATGTATTGTGGTAGAAGCCACTGTAACATGAAATGTTTGTATATTCACCTCTGCTATTGAGGCTTCCAGCAGATATCCAAGAGATTAGGAACTATGGAGAGGATATTGAAGTTTAATGACTGTACTTGAATGAGCAATCAGTACATTAAAAAGGTCAGACTAAGCTGAAGAAAACTGTTTTTTCAGAGGACAGGTAGCCTAGCAACAAAGTCCCTTGGTCAGATCCATAATTTCATTACCAAGACAGATGAAGTCTTATGATGGGGGACCAAGACTATTAACAGGCAGCAGCTGCTCCACTCTGAGGTCCACTTTTCACCAGCTCTACATGCGGAAAACTAACACAGCAGTCCAGTAATGCAAAAAGAAAACCACCACCCCAAAAACTCAGACAGAGAATCAATCCCAAGAGAACAGCAAGGGGGAGGAAATGGATTGTATTAAGGATATTTGCTGACCGGTAAAAATATAAAGCACAGCGCATGTGCGATCCCTGAGCAGGCTTAAAACACACCACACTTAACCAATTATCACAGCCACAGGTATCAGAGATACCTGGGAGCTCTCTGGACTTTTGAAGACATTACATTTAAACATTCGTACGCTACAGCACAACTGTTTTCATGTTTGGAATGCAAACTCTAATTAAGGAGCAGTACCACAAGAGAACCAAAACTGGTGGCCCCTGAAGCCTCATGAAATTTAAGAATTATCCATAATCCAAACAGCCTGAGCAACGGGCCAAACAACAGATAGTCAATTGTACTGCAAGTCTGTCTCAAACACTTCAGAGACCTTTGGCTGATGCAGAAATACTCCAGAAGTAGCCAGAAGCTGTTAAATTCATTATTAACTGTATTTATTAAACCTTAAAAAAAACCCCCACCACAACAGATCACCTTTATTTCATGCAAACTGGGGAAAGCATATCAATAATCCAAGGGCCACTGCGGTGCCAGCTGTAAAGTAAAGCTCTATTCCAAGTAACAGCATGACAAGGAGATATGCTAACTTAACACTACTGTTCTCTTCTAAAGTTCTTCATAGTTCACTGGTCAATTTAGGGGGGTTGCAGTATACAATGCTTAAAATCGAGACTGAACTAAAACTCAGATATATTGATTTTTCATCAGGGCTGAAAGCAATGTTTAAACTAGTATTAGGATTATTAAGAAGTGGCTCTTAAAAGTTTTCTGCCATTGATTCGAGGATAATCCCATCCTTCCTTTGCAGAAAAAAATAGTAACTCCAAATTAAGAAATCAGTTGATGGACATCTTTTTTAAAATCTCAAATTGTGTAATCAAAGAATAGCTGTGCTTGGAAAATCTTTGTAGCTCAGACAATCACATACCTGTTTTAGGTGACTACCCAACTCCACTGGACTACAACAGAGCCGTTAGCATGGTCAAAATCAATGTGCAGAGAGTAGCAAGCAAATATCCTTCCTTACTGCAAGCTATTATTTCATTTTGCTGCTTCAAGATCAAGCTGACAATACTGGCAAGATTAACAGTAATTGCTATTTATACAGTGCTTCATGTTCATGACACTCAACTAAAGGTAATTCTACATTCAATTCTTGCATCTCCTTTGTGGCTTTAGTGTTGTCATTAAAAAAATGAACCTTTGTCAGATGAAGGCACAGATATTTCTATTGATGATGTAGTGAATAAGAAAGCTCAAGACTGCTAACTAGATCACTGAACAAAACACAGTATTTACTTGGTTTCTGAAAGTGTTTTACTATGTACCATATGTACCAATATGGAAAAATATCTTCTTAGAAGATTAATTTTTCATAAGTATTACTTTACAGTGAGTAAACTGAAACAGTTATTTCCTAATATCTATGCCAAAAATACATTTAATGAGTGTAAAAGCTTCTTCCTTAAAAACATCCAAGCATACTATTAACCAGCAAGGAGAAAGTAGCAAAAAGCAATAAAGAAAAAGTACGGTGCTCTTATCAGACTAGCACAGCAGTAAGCAAAGTCTGCGCTGCAAGCTAACTTTCCCAGTTACAAGTATCTCTCTGTTCCCAACTACAAGCTGGAAAACAACAAAAAGACGGGGAAAGAGAAGAGGAAAGGCAAAATTGATTTTTTTTCCCCACAAATTTTAAATGGAATAATTACTCAAGGTTAAAGACGTTAAAAGTGCCTACAAATTCACAAACTGTTTTATATCAAATGAAGGGTTTCCCCATCAGCACCTGTAACTTCTGAACAACCACTAACCCTAAAAATTCAGTCTGGAATCTAAAAGAAAAAAAAAATCTAAGGCAATTTTTCCTCCTTTTCATGTATCATTTACAAGTAACATTTCTGATAGGTCATTCCTATACATTCTTCTTCCCATGTGTAACCACTGTTCATT